CCAGTTTTGCAGTGTTCTGGAGATCGCCACACAGCACTATGCATTAACTGTGGTTAAATGGTGACTTCTATGTGGGTTTTGCACATTTCAAATGTTAAAATGTGTATGCTTGTGCACATACAGGAATTTTCAAAGCGCATGTAAACAGTACTTGGTTGGCTTTTCCATTATATACCTATTTTATTTATGTTTTTATCATATTTCTGTTTTTCCTATTTGTAAGCTGTTGACTTAAAAAAACACACACTTAGAAGTGTTCGAGCATCTTGGTAATCATTCTGGCTGCCATGTGACCCGGCGGCAAAAGAGTAGAGGAGTGATTTGGTGGCAAAGACTGGTCATTGAGGTCACAAGGACCTAAGAGCAGAGGGAATCCCACCACGGGAGGTGGGTGTGTCTGGATGACACAGCAGAGCAGTCTGACCAGCAGTCTGGTGAGGGGTGGGGGACAGCACTTAAAGGTAGATTGGGGCCATGTTGTGACAGGATTTTAATGGTTGACTGGACACTCGAAGTTTGTTCTGAGGATGCTGTGGAACTATGGAACATTTTGAGCAGGCCAGTGCCAGGTAGGGAGGGTCTGTAGGAAGATTAACCAGGCACATTTCACTAAGTGTTGGGTAGACTGACAGAGAGAGAGAGAGAGAGGAAGATGTCAGGACACAATAATCCAATGGGGATGGAAAGTTGGGTTATTCTAGAAACTTCCAAAGAAAGAATGAATAGATGAGTCCATTTGAAGGGTGATGAAGCAAGGAGTCAAAAGTGACTGTGGTTTCAGACCAGGATAAGTTACACTGAGGAGAGAATTATACCTCAAACAGAGAAAGGGACTCGCGAAAGGAAGCTAGATTCTGCAAGAAAGGTAATGAACTCCTTTTTCACCTGTCAAGTTTGGAGCTATCATAGAATATAATATTTTGTGATACTGGAATCATTTAAGAAGATGTGACCAGTATCTGACTTTTTAAAAGTTCCAGCAGAATTCAGAACAATGACAAAAGCACACACACACACTGCCAAACCAATCCACAGCAGGACTTCAGGAAGATTTCCCATGGGATAATTTTAGACAAGTTGATCAAATCGATCACCAAAACTCACCTTTCTTAGGAAAGCAGTTAGGTTTCTAAGGAAGGCACTGTGACAGGTAGGCATGGGTTTCTTCATGTCATTCTTCATGTGTTCTGAAATACTCTACATCTCTCTTCATATCTGAACTTGATCTGCATCATACAATTAGTGATTGATGTCTTACACTGAATGAAATATGGCTTAGAGGATTTAAAGAATCCTCCAAAAAGGCTGAGTGCCTTGGTCAAATGTGTGTGTGTGTGTGTGTGTGTGTGTCAGGGTTTAGAGGCAGAATTAGGAACTTTTGACCCCCCAACATCTGCATCTAAAACCAAGAGAGGCTAAGGAACTTATTTCCATCCAATCAAAGAAGACCAGCAAAAGCCCGGAGTTCTATGGAGTGGACAGAATTAATTCCATAAGAGAAGTGAGATGAGCCATTCTCTTGGTAGGGGAACTGGCTTAGAAGCACGTATGTTTTGGACTGACTATGATTTGTGGTCTCTGAGAACAGTTTTCTTGCTTTACAGTTTCAAATGTTGGTCCCTTTGGGGAAACTAAGCCAGCTCAGTATACGAATATCATTAGGCTTGGGGGTTTTTTCCCTAATAACACTAAACTAATCCAGAATGTGCCACTGTAGATAAGAATTATTTTGAGCTAAAAGCATTTGAGAATCAACAGATACAGGAAGAGGGCTGTGTTTTGTTTCTTTGTTTTTGGGGAGGCAGTACTCAGGGCCTCACACTTGCTAGGCAGGTGGTTCTACCAACTGACCCACTCCACCAGCCCTGTTTTTGTGGTGAGTTTTTTTAAGATAGGGTCTCATGAACCATCTGCCTGGGCTGGCTTCAAACTAGATCCTCCTGATCTCTGCCTCCTGAGTAGCTAGGATTACAGGTATGAGCCACTGATGCTGGCCATATTTGGTTTCTGAACTATTGTTATCTGCCTAAAATCAGTGCCTCTTAAAAGAATTCAACTGGCATCAACTCCCTTCCCCAGGAATTTCCAAACTAGGGAAGACTGACTCCTATTACCAGAGAAGTAGCAGCTGAATAATAATAACCTAAACAGACATTGCCACAACCTGTCACATCTCCTACCTAGCCTCTCAGGCAGTCTGTCTCTCCTGAAAGTAATTTCTCATAAGTACCCTTTTTCCTCCCCTCTCCTCTCCTCTCTTCCCTCTTCCTTTCTCCTCCTCCTCCTTCCTTTCCCTCCCTTCTCCCTGCCTCCCTCTCCTCTCCTTCTTCCCCTCTCTGTTTTCCAGATGGTATATAAAATCCAAATTCTGACTGCCTCTTTGACTCTGTTTTTCAGTGAACTCTGATTACTTTTGTGAATAAAAAATCTGACTTTTCTTTTGCTAATCTGTCATTTTCAATTTAATTCACAAGCCCCCCCCCCAGCAACAGAAGAGTTTTTCCACCCTAGCAACAGGAAAAACTATTTTAGTAAAAGTGAATGTCATAAAGGAATGAGGAAATGATAGCTGTAGTGAGACTCAAAGAAATAAACAAGGAAAACATTCACTCACATTGGAAAACAAGTTTTTCCTAAAGAACTTAAGTATTTTGCTTTAAGGAAAATTTCTAAAACAAGAAACACCATGTCTTCAACATGCCAGAGAAAGTCACAGAGACCATGAAGCTGAGTGCACAGGCTCTGAAAGCCAGAACTGGAGGATCGTGGTAGATCCTCCAGCTGAGGTAGAGCTGAGTGGGGAATGAGTCAAACATTTGTTTTGCTCTGTTCTTCTCTAGGGCCTCCTATAGTTCCTGCCCTTTGGGTGCATCTCATCTGAGCAGATTGGGAGTGACACAAAGAAGCCAATCACAGAGGTCACTCTGTCCCTGCTCTCTCCTTCCCACAGTGCTAGTGTTGCACAGAACTCTTGCACATCCTTCCTTTTTGTCACCTGTGATCTGAAAAAGCCCTCCAGACATGCCACGTGTCCAAACTGCCTCCCCACCCTTCTGCCTTCTGTTCTCGCTTTTCACCAAAGGGAAGAGCCTCTCCAGATTTCCCTGCTCAGCAGGGACATGGACCATTCCTGATCCTTAAACATCCTCCAGCCTTTCAGCCAACTGCATGAGTTTCCCTCCTTTCTCCTTTTAAACCACCTGGTCCTCTCCAAGTGGGTGCATTTTATCCTCATCTGGTTCCTGCCTTCCTTTATTAGATAATATAACATTTGTAGCCATCTGTAGTTAGATGTGTGGTTGGTTCACAAAAGTAGAACATATGTTTTGACTAGTATCTGAGTTTGTTTATGGGCATTTTTGTCTGGCTCATGAAGTTAGTGTGGCCAGATCCGTGTCTGCCTTTACTACTATTGGTCTGCTCTGGCCAACAGCTGGCAGATGGCCAGGATTTTTTTGTTGACGGTGGTGGTGTTTTATTTTCTGTTTGGGGTTTTTTTTGGTGGTAATAGGGTTTGAAACCAGGGCTAGCAAGGTGCTCTACCACTTGAGGCACGCCTCCAGCCCTGGCCAACACTCTTCATTCTTCTCCTGGCTTTGAGTGCCTCCCATCAATCCTACAGTTCAAACTCCAGCTCTTCCACGTCTCTGTTCTCTCCAGTGCTTACAAACAGCACTCATTTACATCTAACCAAATGTGATTCTGTGCCAGGTGTGGTATACCTGTAATTCCAGCACTTGAGACACACAAGGAGGGGAATCACAAGTTCGAGGGCATCCCGGGCTAGATAGTGAGATCCTATCTCAAAAAACATTAAACACACACACACACACGCTCTGTGTCCATATTTATGTTTTCATATATTTATGTATTCTTGTCTCCCCTACCAGACTCCTTGAATCTGGCCAGCTTCCTTTCCCCAGGCTTGGGTTCAGAGATGAGCAGATGGTGACAGGGGACAGGCAGTAGGAGGTAGCAGGGAAACCTGACACCTCAGATGGCCAGCACTAGGCTATGGTGGGAATCCTGTATCACCCCAAGCTCTGCATATCTGTTTCTTACCTTTTTAATGGAGACGTTGTCTGCTTTGCTTGGGAAAGCCTAAGATGACCCTAGGTGCCAGAAAAACCTTAGCTTCAAAACTGTCACCTCCACATAATAGTTGCTGGATCTTTGTTAAGTTACTTCCTTTCTCTGATCTTTTTTACTCCTACATGTAAACCAGCTCCAAGTGTGGTCCCCAGGGTTTCAGGGGACAATGTTGCATAACAACATTCAGAACTATTTCCCATTTTTCACTCAGATTCTCCTGGGTGCACAGTGGAATTTCCCAAAAACTACGTGATATATGATGTCAGCAATCTAGTAACATGCACTGCGTTTGTTCGTCATTTTAAAATGAATTCACACATTTTGCTGGTGGAGTGGCTCAAGCGGTAGAGGGCCTTGCCTAGCAAGTAGGAGGCCCTGAGTTCAAACCCCCGGTACTGCCAAAAAAAGAAACTGGAACGCATACATTTAAATTCTTGTTGTGGAAATCAAACATCTATCTGCATGACCACGAATCTCCTATATAAACGAAAGCTCTTTTAAGGCCATCGTTCACTCAACAAACAATTGGCGCCTGCTGTGGACACGAAGTTTTTAGATAGAAGGTGGCGTTGAGAGTTTACACTGGGGCGGGAAGAGACAAACGACAAAATAACGGGAATTTCTGAGCACGGCAAGCGTAATACAGGTCTGCAGCAGGACTCGTGTCCCTCCACTATCTGTGGCCCGCTTCGACCTAACTGTCAGCCACACCGGGACCGGACTTCGGCCGGAGTCGCCCGGAAGGTTCCCCAGCTCCACGGCGACTTCAAGGCGGCCATGATGGGGCCGTAGACCCCGCCCCGACGCTGACGCACGTGACGTCACTGGCCCGCGCCGGCCAATCGCGAGCCGCGCGGGTCTGGGTGCCGTCGGGGCGGTGGCCTGCGGGCGGCGCTGTGGCCCGCCGAGCGGCCCTTCGCAGCCGCCATAGCCGCCCGCCTCCCGGACCCAACGTCTTCGCCGCGGGCCCCGCGCCGCCGCCATGGCCGACGCGGAAGACGGCGAGGAGTCGTGCGCCTCGTCCTCTCACTCCGGGGGCGCAGGCTCCAAAACGGGAGGCGACAAAATGTTCTCGCTCAAGAAATGGAACGCGGTGGCCATGTGGAGCTGGGACGTGGAGTGCGATACGTGCGCCATCTGCAGGGTCCAGGTGATGGGTAAGCGCTGCGCGCCGGGCCGGGGTGAGGACGAGCGGGGTCGCCCTGGCGGCGCCCGAGGGCTCGGGGTCCACGGGGACAAACGGGCAGTGGCCGAGGGCCCCGCCGGGTGACTTCAGGTGGCGATGGGCGTGGCCGAGAGAGTTAAACGGGTGGCTCCCCGGGGTGGGGCCGCCGGGCTGAGTGACCGGCCCCAGCTCTGAAGGGTCGCCGCGGAGGGGTCAGGGTCAAGGTCAAGGTCAAGGTCGTGATTCAGTGGTGCCCTTTCTTGGTGCCGATCACGCCCCGGGGTGGTGACCAGGCGGCCGTCGGTGACACCAGAGAGGCGCAGGGAAGACGGGTGTGTGCGGCCATTGCGTTCCCGAGTTAGCCGGACCGGCTTGTGAATCCGGATCCATTTAAGACGGGTCAGAAGTTCTGTAACGCCAGCACTGGGAAAGCAAGAGGCTGGAGGATGGAGAGTTCGAGGCCAGCCTGGGCTACATAGCGAGATCCTGTCTCAAAAAAGTAAACAGCAACGAAAAATTAAGTTTCATGGCAACTGAAGAACGTAAGTCCTTTATTCGGAAGCATCGGACTTCTGATGCCGCTTCCCAGAGAAGACTGCCCCGCTGCCACGCCCTCGTGGACAGCCTTCTGTACCAAACACGACTTCAGTAATCTCCAGAATGAGAATTTCGGACCAAGCACGACGTTTCAAAACACTTAACTTTTGTACGGTTTCTGTTTGAAGATCTCCCACCAACTTTAAAAGTTGGCTTTTTTAATAGGGCATTTAAAATTACTCTGGGTGCGTCTTAGGGTGTTTCTTGAGGGTAATTGAAGTAAGGACAGATTCCTGTACTTTAAAAACTTTGTGGCTTTGCCCTGAAAAAGGAGAGAATTGGAAGAAATAAACAGAAATGTTCGCCTTTTTGGGGAGCGAACCTACCAAAATCTCACCTTTGTTCTCTTTTTCCTCATTCCTAAGAGGTTTTTTCAAAGATTTACAACCGAGGGCTCAAATTTGTATTTGTTATTTGATTGTGGACATGACTCACTTTTTAAGTATTTAGATTATTTGTCTACAATACAGCTAACCCACTCTCACCCCTTTCTTAGGAACTGAAATCAAATTTCTATTTGAGGCATTTTTAACTCATTCAAAGATTTAATCTTTTGTTCTTTTTGCAGAACCAGTTTTGCTAAAAAAAAATTTGTACTCCAAAGTTTCCTTTGGTTTAAAGGAAACTACATTTTAGTTCCTTTCTGTTTTAAAAAGTGCATTTAAAAAGGATTTCTCTCTTAAAAAGCTATTTTCTTCCCCAGCGGGGAAAAATTATAAATCATAATCAGAAATGGAGAGCCTAAAATAATGATTGGAGTTTGCAGCAAACTTTCCTTGGGTGTTTAAAGAAGGCCAAAGGATGGGCTATGAATGACTCAAGCTCACCATGAGCCTGCTAATTATAGCAGACACTTGACTATGGCAGGCTTAATTTCGAGTAGTTCCAGAAACTCTACTTTGGGTCCAGGAGGGTGTTCTGGACTGGACCTTTGTTTTGCTTGTGACATGTCAGTGGTCACTCGGAGGCCAGGTAACAGCAGAAAGAAATGTGATTGTAAGGCTTTGCAGTCCTCCCCTAACATCATTCTAAAAGGTGCCACTGTTGTACTCCTTAGCAGTGGGCTGCTTTAGATATTAGAAACATCATTAAAAGAACTTTTTTCTTTTATCTGAAACTTCAGGAATTTGTGGGTTGATTTTGTATAATCAAAAAGCATAATTCAGAGATTTCCTAGATTCTGTAACAATGCACTTCGTCTCATTTCCTCAGTATTTAGGATTTATTTCACACTGTATTAGCCTTCTTACTCAGTTTCCCTGCCATTCAGTCCTGATGTGAGCCACCCTGTCCCTTGGAGTCCACTGCTCCCATCATCCTGAAAGGACACATGGCACAGTGGGCCAAGTGCCAAGGAGAAAGAGAAAGGGGCATGCCAGCACAGCCATGTTACAAAGCCAGGGGGGCTGTGTGTGAACTTGGACGTGTCACATGACCTTTTGGAGCCTTCTTTTCCAGTTGGCTCCCCAGGCCTGATCATCTTACTATGCAGGTGTCACTGGCACACACAGTTGTGTTTGTTACAGCTGTGCGACAGGCAGCCTTGGTCAATACCTTGGTTGCTTTGCTGTCCAGTGCATGAGTCCTCCCTCCCACAGTAATTATGGAGCTGGAGAAAGTCAGGAGGCACGGATGTTTTGGTCCTCACTAAGGAGCCAGAGTGCGGTGTTTTCTCAGGGCGAGAGCTTGTAGAGGGTCAGCAGATGCTGGGCGGGAGCCAGGGAGGAGGAGGGGCCCTGCAGCCTGCCTTGGCCAATTCTGCAGAATTCCTGCTCTGTATTTATGCTGAAAATCCTTCTGTCGATTTGAGCTGCCTTTTACCCAGCGCAACTCCTCTTCCAGCTAGTGGATGAGTGTACTGCATTGGCTCCTTCACCGAGCAAATAGTACCATGGGGTGTGTTTGAAAGCTTGGAATTCACCCAGGGCTCCCATTACTCCCATTTCCTCCCCAGGAATTGCTTAAAATACTTTGCCATCATTGCTAGATGCTTTGGACTCAGACTTACCTGCAAAGGGGGCAGTGGTTTTTTTTAGAAAGAACCTAGTATTTTTTATAAAACTCTCTAGCCAGGAGCTGGTGGCTCACGCCTATAATCCTAGCTACTCAGGAGGCAGAGATTAGGAGGATCATGGTTCAAAGCCAGCCCCAGGCAAATAGTTCTTGACCCCATCTCAAAAAAAAAATCCATCACAAAAAAGGCCTGGTGGAATGGCTCAAGGTCCAGGCCCTGAGTTCAAATGCCAGCACTGCAAAAAAAAAAAAAAGCTCACAGGTATGTATCGTCCTCACTGTAAGGTGAGTTTTCTTCCCGCTCTCCCCCAGGCCCAGCCTGCTCCCACAGTCTTAGTTGGGTGAGCTGTGGGAAACATACAACTTACTGGAACCAAGAAGTTCATCGGGAAGAAAGTGTGCTTTAGAACTTGCTGAAGGAAAAATTTAGGGTCAGTAAGATGGGTGACTGAAGATTTGTTACAAACAATTAGCAAAATGTTTTAATTTTCATGTAGGGTTACAATCACAGTGAAAGAAATAAGGAGGTAGATGGTGAGGGTTGCTCATTCTCTCTCCTCCCAGTAACTTTATTATTTGGGATATCCTAGATTTTCTTTGTGTGTGTATGCAAATACCAATATATAGGTATCGCTTATTTTAAATGATGTCTTGAGAATACAGTGCGCTCAGAGTAATCCGTGATGCAGTAAGCAAAGCAAAGCGGGTGCTTCTCTAGTAGTTTTCTCTTGTGGCAGCAAGACAGCTTTTCATCAGAGCTTGTAAAAATAGAGTCCTTACCCTTGTAAAATTGCTCCTGGTCATAAGTAAATTAGTAGAATACCTTGTACTTTATTTCTCTTGAAATAGCTACTTGGGGATGAGAAATGGATAGCGGGAGTCTTTTATCTTCATCTGTAGCCCTGAGGGCCTGAATTTGACTTTGAAGAGTCTGGGTTTAAAGCCGCCTGCGGAGCCTCAGATGAGAGTTGCTGTTTGTTTGCTTCCAGATGCCTGTCTTAGATGCCAAGCCGAAAACAAGCAAGAGGATTGTGTTGGTACGTTGTCATTTCTTCTCCTACTTTTCCAACGAAAGCTTTTCTCAGTGGGGATCAAACTGACTTTTTAATACACAAAAATAAACTGTAAAACAGCGATCTGTTATCAACATAAAATGTTGCTCTGAAAAGGCTTTAACAGTAAATCTGTAGCCTTCATTGCTGGAATTAAGAATTGGTTCTATATTACAGACATGGTCCCAGTAAACACTTTGCTAATCAAAAAAGAAATCATGACCTCCTGTTTGAATTTGGCTGTGTTACAGGTCAGTTTAGGTTCCGTTTATTAAAGCATTTCAGTTTTCAATACTTCTGTGATGCAATAACCAGCTTTTAACAAAGGTAGAAAATACTAGGTGTCAGGCTTTTTTTGTTTTTTAGAATGTGACTGGTGTGCTGAAATGGACGACTACAAAAGTTGTCCTAGACATTAGACGTTTTAAGTCATGCAGAGGTTTTGTGTCCACGTCCTTTAGATGATTGCAGTCAGATTCCTTTCAAAGTGCTTATGGGTTTTTCTACTTTGCTCATGGTTGCATATTAGCGTCTTAATACTAATGTGTGTGTGTTTTCCTCCTCCTGTGACACACTTTTAGGATATTTCTCCCTTGCTTCCTACCTCAGCCAGTTTCCATAAGAAGTATTTTTTCTCTCTTTTTAATTCCCTAGTTCTCTCATTTGATCCTGTTGTCATAAAACTCAGTAGGTCAAGCAGGGGACAAACGAAGTTTTGAGATTGCATTATTCCACATCATGGGTGGTTTCCCTTAGTTTGAAATTATTCTCACCATGCCGCTTGTTTAAAAATATTAGTTGGGAATTGTGAGGGATGGACTCCTTTCTTCAATCACAGAGAGACATTTCTCTTCAGGCAAGCACTGTGAAAATTTCACTGTGTCACAGGAGGAACGGCACCACTAAAAAACAGCTCAGTAGATATATAACTCATCGTGTTTACATGCTTGTCATCTGTTTATAATAGCCAGCTATGAACTGAGTACATGAAAAATTCATTAGGTCTTGGTAAATAAAAACCAGGAGGACATTTTTTCAGTAAAGCAAACGCCCAATGATTTGTACGGTCAGGGCGTGACTGGGAAGGCCTGGGACCTAAGCAAGTTCAAGTCCTTTAACCTCCTGACTTCAAGAAGCATATGGAGTCATTTAGGAATGGGAGATGGCCACATGTCCCATCACCCAGATTCTCCAACAGGGATGGAAAGTCCCCAGACAGAGAGACTTGCTCTGTAACTGACTTACACTTATAAGTTCATATTGTTTGTAGATAGACAAAATGACTGTGACCAATTAACCATTTTTATTCAAGATTGTGAGCCATGACTTTTATTCATTATATAAAAGTGTTACAGTTTGAACTTAGTAATTTAAACTGATGTCAGGTCTACTGTCCTTTTCTTTCTTTCAGTGGTCTGGGGAGAGTGCAATCACTCCTTCCACAATTGCTGCATGTCCCTGTGGGTGAAGCAGAACAATCGCTGCCCCCTGTGCCAGCAGGACTGGGTGGTTCAGAGAATTGGCAAGTGACCAGGCAGAAAGCTTCTCTGTGCTGTGTCCGCAGCCCTGGTCCGTCCTGCTGTTAAGTGCGCAACGAAGGCCAGGACGTCCACAGTTGATTCTTCAAATGGAAGTCAGGGACCTGTGGGCCTTTGGACTCACTGAAGCATTTCGTCAGCTTACTCCTCAGAAATTCTCTACAGTTAAGGAGGTAATTTATTAAAGATGCTCTTTCCTACCTCTGTGCTGTGTCACACACACTGCTTAGACATGCCATACAAAAGGAGAGAACTTCAAATCCAGTCACCTTTTTTCATTTCCCTCCATGCACACAGGGGCTGTGGGAGAGTTCGTGCTGCTCACAGGAACTGCGTGCATGTTTAGGCTGCTCAGCCCCAAACCCAGAATATCACAGCCACAAATAAAGTGCAGTTCAAACCCAGCTCAGCTTCACTTTCTTCCTGGTACTTATTCTCGGTTGGGAGAAGGGGCAGTCCATGACGTCTTCATTTGATGTGAAAAGGATTTTGATTTTGGATGAGTGAACAGAGTAAATAAAATGTAACTTGGAGGCATATGGGATTTGGTTGCCTTTGAAGTTATTCTGTGTCTCTGAGTGACCAGGAAAACCTATACCTGCACTCATCTCAGTGTTCAGTCACTCAGTGGCAAGTTTCTAGTTTCAGTCAGGTTGGGTTGTAATGTATGTTTTAGACAAAATAGTAATGAGGGAAGGTGTTCGCCAATGTAGCCTTGGATCAAAAACTTTATCACACAGTATTCTAATAAAGTTTATTCTGTTTACTTTGAGTTGTTACAGTTTTATGTACAGCCTTAAACTTAATTTGTTGAGTAAATAGTTTGAAAAAATTCATATATTCAGTCCTTTGGCAACAAAACTTAAAAGTTTATTACCTGGAAACAGTTAAGTACAAGAAAACCCTTAAATTTTATCAAAGTCACTCCCATTCATCGAAGGTTATTTTGTAACAAATTATGGACCTCAAGATTAGTTTAAATGCCTCTCTAATGGAGGCTACTGATAGGAACTTAAAAGACAAAAATGCCTTAAAAATCTTTATTTCACATCTGCAGATTCAGTTGGCTGTCCTGAATCTTTAAATCTAAGGAATGTAGATACTTACAAGAATGTTCTAAAGTGGAATAATCAGTCGGGCACTGGTGGTTCACCCCTGTAATCCCAGATACTCAGGAGGCAGAGATCAGGAGGATCTGCAGTTTGAAGCCAGCCTCAGGGAAATAGTTCAGAGACCTGATCTCAAAAATACCCAACATAAAAAATAGCTGACTGAGTGGCTCAAGTGGTAGAGCACCTGCCTAGTAATCGTGAGGCCGAGTTCAAACCCCAGTACCATCAAAGGAAGAAAGAACAGTAGTGGAATAAAAATTAGAATTCTTCATGCTTTTGTATTGGCTTCTTTTGTTGGTTTATTTGAGCCAGTGTGTAGTCTACGCTGCTTCACTCACTGTAGTCAGTTTGACAGTCCTCAAACTGTCGCCTGTTACCTTAATCTCCTGAGAATCTGGGATTACAGGTGTGTACCAGCATGCCCGGCCATTTTGGCTACTTTGTAATTAGTCTGGTTTCTTTGGAAATTTTTGCTTATATACTTTTTCAGGTTTTCTAGTTACCGAACAGATTATACAAGTACAAATGTTGCCATTTGAATGTGTTTATCGTTGTGCAATGAACTCTCTCAGTAGGTTTCTGTTTGACCTTTTAAAAAGGTTGTCTCTGAAATGTGAGCCAAATGTTCAGCCTTGCACTGAGGAGGGAAGCAGTCTAAGTGTCTGCTACTTAGGTCAGTATGACCATGTGTAAGTGCAGTCTGGAGGATGGTGGTAATAAGTTCATTTTCCACCCAGCAAAACTCCAGACTGCTACCTAACAAAGCCCCTTTTATGTCACATGTCAGCCTCAGAAGGCAGTGGAGGAGGACCAGGACAAAGCAGAGCTGGTCCTGCACCCTGGGATGATATCAGCTCATCTGCATAGCCCTCCGCGAGTCTGGTACATACTGTTTCACCAGAAGGAACATGCCGTGGCATTCAGTCGTGGGTTCTGACACGGAAGTCAAGCACTGAAAGGCTCTTTCCATTTTGATTAAATGATCTTGAATGCTACTACATATTCGGAACCTAGTTCATTTTCAAGTTGTGCAAAAAATATACACAAGAAGCTGCCACACTCTAGGCTCAGATGATTATAAATAATTTTCCCCTCTAGGAATGGAGCTAAAGTCACAGCAGATGCTGACTGAGTCATGTGGGACTCACCCATGGCAAGGCACCGGCTTCCCTGGCCTCCCCACTGAGTCCCAGTGGTGCCGTCAATTTAAGTGCCGTCTAGGAGCACACATTTTCAAAACTTCCCTTTAGAGGGAGTACTGGCTTCCTGGGGAACCCTGGTGTTGGGGCTCATTCACACTTTTACTGTACCACAGTCTCCCAGAAGATCCTAAAATGGCACAGGCAAGAAACAAATTCTTTAGAAGCTAAGATACAAGGAATTTTTGTTTGGGCCTTTTTTTGGTTTTGTTCTGGGTGCTGGGAATTGAGGATTGAACTCAAGGCCTTGCACTCTCTACCATTGGCCTACACCCCTACGCCAGGTTTCAATTTCAAGTGTTTGCTACCCTAAAAAGAAGAATTCATAGAGCCAAATCCTGCTAGTCAGTGTGTGCTCTAGAGAGAGAGAGCTGTTAGTGCTTGAAACCTGGTACACACGGCCTGTTGCCATTGACTAAGCAAAGGCTTTCAGACCTAAGGAAAGCTCAAAATTGTTTCGTTTATCTGAAGCTAGTGTAGAAAGCTTTCCCCCACCCCTTGGTGTTTTGAGACAGGATCTCCAAATAGAACAGCCCAGGCTGGCCACCTGCCTCCACCTCCCAAGTGCTAGGATTATAGGTGTGAGCCACCATGCCCAAGTTAGAAAACTTTGCAATCAGAAAAGAAAAAAATCATTTCCTAAGAAGCTTAATTGATGGCAGGCGTAATGCCAGCAACTCAGGAGGCTTGTGAGCTCTAGGCCAGCCCGGGCTGCATGGCAAGACCCTATCTTGGTGGACATCTGACAAAAGTACCTGTAAGAACCAGTGTGTTTTGTCATTTTTAAAGTTACTGTCAAGGACCAGTTTTAGGTAATGAACATTGTCTGCTTTGAAAAGAAATGAGAAAGTGTCAGTGTTTAGTGAGCCCTTAATTCACAGAACTATAAGGAAAAAATGTTACAGATTTGGACACAAGGAAAATTGGACTTAAAATTTTAAATTTTAGGCTGTTTTATGTTGAACCTTTGAATAGGATAGTGAGATACGGTCATCTGAGGTCCAGCACCTATGTGGATCCCGAACTTGACTGTGGTTACGCTCTAGGAAACAGGTGAGTTGGAATCTCCACGTGCACTGACTGACTCCTTTGGGTATGTGCCCGGATGTAGGATTGGAGGTCATGGGATGGTTCTGTTTTAAATTTCCTCACAGGGAAAGTTGTCATTTTTATTGAGGTACAGTCTTGTTTAGTAGCCCAGCCTCAATGTCTCCATTGCTGCGTTTACAGGCACATACCACCAGGAAACTCTCTCTCTCTCTCTCTCTCTCTCTCTCTCTCTCATGCTGGTGAGGCATAAGGCAAGTGTTGGATCACCGAGCTGCACCCCAGCCCCACAAGTGGCAGTATTTTCTCTGCGTTTTAACTCTTACTTAGTAACTGAGAACTGAGGCAAGTTACTTCACTGCTCTATGCCTCAGTTTCCCCGTGTGCACTGTAGATAACAGCATTCCTGCCTCACAGGATTGTTGTAAGGACTGAGGACTGAGTGGGTAAACTGAGAGCGCGTCCGGCACATGGTAAGTGCCGCTCTTACAGTTCATTTTCGTCATTTTTTGAAGCTTCTATAAAAAACAGTGTGCTTTCAGTTACAGGGTAAAGCACTGTTGACTGTTCTCCATAAAAAACATACAAGAGAAGTAAATTGTAGGTTTATTTAGATTCCTTACAGCACTGTGCGCTTCTGTGAGGAACGCTAACAAGGTCTTACTGAGTCGCTTGTATCCTAATCAGTCAACGTGACTTTGAGATTTCACCTTAAGAGGAGGTTTTGTACGTGTTCAGCTCTCATTTGAATTTTAGTTTCTCCATCTGTGTGGAAATATTCACTGAAATTTTACAAATATGAACAAGGGTACATTTTTATGACCTCTTGATTTTGGGATGTCCATATGGCTTAGAAAATTGACCTTTCTCTGCAATTCTGTTTTCATGGTCATAGCCCTTCCTTTACCCCAAGAGCAAGCTTTACTGTCACCTGCTGTTTTGTTTATTATTCACTTGACAAACCCTAGCGTGGTTAAACTGACTCCCCTGGTTGGCTGCCCGCAGTGTTTTCCTGGTGGGGTGGGGGTGGGGGGCTGCAGTGGGGCTTAGCAGGAAGATGACAGGGCTGAAGTCAGCTCTAGCATGCCCCAACTGTGTAATCTTGCACAAAATCCTTAGCTTCTCTGCCTATTTCCTCAAATGGGATTCACGCTGTCCTCTACCCCATAAAATTGTTGTAAAGATCAATTAAGGCTTTCAGCCTGAGACATAGCACACACTCAGTAAATGTTGCCTGTTGTAGTCATTACTGCCATTGCTGATATTTTTGCCGTAATTAAGACAGTGGATTTACTGAGGCACAGTGCTCTGGGGACTGGAAGCAAGGGCGGAGTTCTTGCAGTGTTGCAGTGTGAAAACCCGCCTGTAATCCTACCTACATGGGAGGCTGAGATGAGGAGAATTGAGTTTTGAGGTCAGCCCAGGCAAATAATTTCATGAGACCCTATCTTCAAAATAACCAGACCGAAGGCACTGGAGGTATGGCTCAAGTGGTAGAGCACCTGCTTTGTGAGTGTGAAACCCTGAGTTCAAACTCCAGCCCCACAAGTAAAGAAAGAAAAGAAAACCCATTTCTGTTTGAATGGTACGTGGTGTGGGTGTGCTCATGGCATCCCTGGGGAGTGGAGGAGTGGCATGGAGTGCCTTGTTCACTTCTGCTGCTCCCTTGTCTGTCCCCTGGTTCCATCTCTCCTCCACAGGAGGGGCATTGCCCCAGTGACAAAAAACCCAATACCCTACCTAAAAAATAACTCAAGCAAAAACACGGCTCGGGCGTGGCTCAAGTGGTAGAGCGCCTGCCCAGCAAGCTTGAGGCCCTGAGTTCAAACCCCAGTACCACCATGAAAAGAAAAGCAGAGTCAGGTGCCAGGAGCTCACTCCTGTGATCCTAGCTACTTGGGAGACTGGGATCAGGAGGATGGAGGTTCTAGGCCATTTCTGGGCAAATAGTTCTGAAGATCCCATTTCCAAAATAACCAGAGCAAAATGGACTGGAGGTGTGGCTCAAGGGGTAGAGCCCTGCTTTGCAAGTGCTCCAGGCCCTGAGTCCAAACTCCAGAAGCATAAAGGGAAAAAATGGAGGAAGATCTTTGCTCATGCACTCCTCCAAGAGAGCCATGTGTGGACACAGAAAAGCACCACCCGCAACCCAGGGAGAAGCCCTCAGAGCTCTGTCCTCCAGCATCCATCCGCCTTAGACTTCCAACCTCTAGACCTGTGAGGAAGTGAGCCTCTGATGTTTAAGCCACCAGCCTCTGGTGATTGGTAAAGGAAGCCATGCTGACCGGTCCCCGCCTAGGGTCCCAAACCTACATGGAAGGCAGGTGTGTCTGCAGGCCATATTCACCATTCCTAATGCAATACCTCTCCTGAAATACTCCTCCAGGTTACTTTTC